TTAGAATAGGAATAGGTTTATACAATCCTATTAGAATAGGAATAAGTTTATACAATCCTATTAGAACAGGAATAGGAATAGAAATAGAAATAGGAATACTAAATAGTATCCTACTTGGTAAAGGATTGTATTCTAGGGTTATAAATAGGATCTCAATGTAATAATGTAAGCAGCAACAATTCAATAATATTCTTCTCATATATTTCTCACAGTTATCAGTAGATCTAGTTATTTGTTCGAATAAGGGCAGATATAGTTGTTTTGTGAATATTTGATCATAATCGGATTTAATTTGTAGGATCTAATTGATCCGATAAAATCAGATCTAATGTTGTTAAGTATTTAGGAAATTAGATTAGTTTAAATCATCTTTTGATTCTCAAAAATCCTAAAATCAAGAATCAAACTTCTAGTTTATTTCGTAATCTCTATTGCCATAGTGTTTCCATACCATATGATATCAAAACAACTTTTATTCTTGGTACCATAACTTACATGGTATCAGAGCTGTTTTATTCTTGTGTTGTTCATCATTAAGAGCCTGTTTGGATTGGCTTATTTTAAGTGGCTTTAAGCAAAATAACTATTAACCACTTTTAGAGTGTTTGCTTAAATCAAAAAAGTTCCTATAAGCCCTTAGCATAAGCTGAAATTTGATAAAATAAGTCAATCCAAACAGGCTCTAAACAACATTTACAAGGCAACTTCACCTAGCAGCATCACTAGAAGCTAAGAGTTCTATCAGCAAAGTTCCAACCAAGACAACTATGAGTCAAAGTGACGATTCCTCTCATTTATCATTTTAACTTACTTGTCACAAGCTTAATGGCAAGAATAATTTGGAATGGGCACGATCTTTTTGTTTGGTAATTGATGGTCAACGGAAACTTGGACACCTAACTAGATAGACAAGAAGGCCTTCACCAAGAGACCCGAAAATGAATGCATGGAGATCACAAAACTCAATGGTAATCGCTTGGCTATTAAACTCAATGGAACCTGCCGCCATAGGTAAACCATATTTGTTTCTCCCCACTGTTAAGATGTTTGGGGAGCTGCTAGAGAGACTTACTCTGATGTAGAAAATGTTTGTCAGATTGTAGAAAGGAAGGCAGGGGGAGAGAGGTGTTATTACTATAATAAGATGGTTTCTATATGGAAAGAATTAGATAAATGTTATAATGATGAATGGGAGTGTCGTAAGGATAGCGTAAGAGAAATGAAAAAGGAAAATTTCTAGTAAGATTGAACTAAGAATTCTACAAACTTCTTTCACAAATTCTTGGAAAAGACCCAGCCCACCTTGAAGGATTAGGCGAGAAGAAACAAGGAGGAATGTTATGCTAAAAACATACTCCAATTTGGAAGCAAAAAATATAGATTCTTCTGCTCAAGTTGCTACAAAAATGAAAATGATATGAAAAAGAAGTCGTTGTGTGATCCTTGCAAAAAATACTGCCACACTCGCTCTAGTTGTTGCGAAAAATGAAATCACAAGAAAAAGAAGTCATGGTGTGATTTTTGCAAATATAGTGGCACTCGTGAAACCTGCTAGAAAATCCTCGGGAAATTGCATAACTGGAAGAGTAAAGGGGAAGACAACAGTGGCAGCTGGGTCTTCTAGAGTACCAGGTCGCTCTCGAAGAATCAAGGTTGAAACCTTCTCCAAAAATGTCACCATTCACCAAGGAGCAACTAGAGCTACTGAACTTCTCCAATCTCAACTACAAACCAGTAAACCTGATCATTCCACTCTCACTTGTTTTTTTCCCAAACAGGTATTGTACCATCTGTTTTTTTGAGCACCTGATCACATGACATGGAATACCCATTTTCTCTCAACTTGTACTCCTTATGCAGGAAATAGAGAAGTCAGAGTTGATGGTGGTTCCTTCTCAGCAATTGCTGGAAAAGAACTATCAAATTAACCCCTCTTTTGACTCTTTTTGATGTCCATGATCCAAAATTTTCTTTCAATCTTGTCTCCATCAGTAAATTGACTCGAAACCTTAATTTTTGTGCTATCTTTGACTCAATTCCATGTGTATACGAAGACAAGGTTTCGGGCAGGACGATTGGCAATGCTAGAGAGTCTAAAGGTGTATTTTCTTGAAGATGGTGACAATTCAATAAATTTTAGTTCACCTTGTTTGAACTTTGTTCTAGTTGATAACAAACTTGTGTTATGGCACTATAGA